TGATTCCGACTAGTCAAATTTTTGTAGCCTCATCTGCCTTTGTTTCAATTCCAACTTCATTTGCATTTCTTTTCTTTTGCTGATTGCGCCTGCAAAGCCATATCACTCTTTGACTTTCCTGCAACTCTTTCAGCCTTCCTTTATTCATCACTAACCTTTGTCAATGTTGACAAATTTTTTGACTCTTCTATGACTGCTATCACGTGGTCAAACTTTGGGGCCAATGACCTCAAGATCTTTGCAACAATTGATCTTGATGTCAACACCTCTCCACATACTTTAATTTGATTCACCAATTTAGTAACCTTAGTGAAGAAATCAGTTATGCTTTCATTTTCCTCCATCTGAAGCAATTCATAGGTTCTTTTGTGAGTTTGTAACCTCACCTCTTTCACCCTTTCTGCGCCTCCAAACGATTTCTCCAAGATTTCTCATGCTTTTTTCGCTGATTCTACATCACTAACCTTTTCGAAATTGTCTATATCAACACATTGATGAATTATAAAGAGGACTTTATAATCTTTCTTCTTCAATTCTTTGTATGCAGTCTTTTCTTGACCCGACGCGTTTTCTAAAAGCGGTGTTACTTCTTCCTTCACAAGATCCCAAAGATCTTGATAACAGAAAACCACCTTCATCTGCTTGCACCAATTTTCATAATTTTGACCCTTCAGAATTGGGAAACTCGCCAGAAAATTGACGTTCGGACGATTCATCGCCATCTTGATTTTCTTCCCATAAATTGCTCAGCCAGTGTTCTAGATACCAGATGTCGGAATTAACCTAAAACTTTGAGTAATTCTGAACCAATCTTGATGAACAAGATTCAATCAACCAATTGAAATCTCTTGTTCTTCACTCTTCACTTGAGTGAATCAATCACACCTTGATTGCAAGAATGATTCTACGCAGCAATTGTTATGGAAGAAGAAAGAAAATTGAATAAGGAAGAAGATTAAGGTTTGGAAAAAAAAGGAAAAGGAGGATGATTTCTGTAGAGTTACTCTCTGCTCTCAAACTGAGAAAGTATTATTCAACTGTGCAACTGCATTTAAAGTGATAGGTGGGTGAGCTCTCTCACTTATAAATGCTCATGTCACCACATTCATATCCAATGTGGGACTATTATCCACACTACTCACACTTGTAATACTTAACACTCTTCAACAGGGCACTCAATCCACCAAATATGGGGATACTTTCGATACAAGTAAATTGGTCCCTTTCTCGAACCAAACTATGATACTAGAGTTAGGAAAGTTTTTTCACTAAGGAGCATTAAACATTGTGGGACTTCTTTTCTAGAGCAACACCATATTTGTGAAAGACACAACACACATTCATCCAAAATCTTAAGGTGATAGGTGAGTGGATTCTCTCACTTAAAAATGCTCAAGTTACCACATTCGTATCCAACGTGAGACTTATTTTCTAGAGCAACACCTTTGTGAGAGACACACCACATATTCACCCAAAACCTTAAGGTAATAGGTGAGTGGGTTCTCTCACTTATAAATGCTTAAGTCACCACATTCCTATCCAATGTAGGAATATTATTCACACTACTCACACTTGTAATACTTAACATTTTTATCTCTTTTACACTTCTTTTTCATATTACTCTTTGTGCTTTATTTCTTTTAAATCAATTACACTTTTCTTTCAAATCATTTTAACAATTGAATTTAATAGAGTCGAATAAATCATAAATTTAAGTTACCGAGTTAGGATTGATCTAAGAAAAAAGATTCATCCTAAAACAACATTATATTAATAATTTTATTATATATAATCTATCAAACTTAATGTGACTTTATTTTTAATACAAAATTGTAATTTTATTGTTGTCGATTAAGATCTAATTATAATGATAAATGGTAAAAATACTTTTTAATTTAACTGTAATTTTGGTTCTCTTATTTTATTTTTTTTCTTTATTTTTGATCTCTTTATTTTAAAATTTGGAATTTTGACTCTTTTATTTTTATTTTTTTACATTTGATTCACCTATTTTAAAATTTAAAATGCTAATCATCTTCTTTTTTTTTCTTTCATTTTTTAATACTTTTGATCTTCTTATTTTAAAATTCAAATTAAAAAGAGAATTAAAATCTAAAATAAAATTTAAAATAAAGGAAAAAAATAAAGGGGCCATTTCAAAATTCCCCAAAAATTTTAGGTTTTATATTTTAATGTAGTTGTGTAAATTTTCAAGTCATATCTCGGGTATCCAAATCTGATTGTTGGATTGTCTTTTGCATCTAAAAAATGATTGTACATTTCCGAGTTTTTAATAGTTCTTTACGTTAGGTTGTATCAAATGCGTAAGAATGCTATAATACAAATTAAATGAATTGAAACATAATCAACCATAAAACTTATCATAAAATTCTTTCCATTACACCATCACAAAACTCATTGCAAATGGGTGATTTAGGATGATTTTTAAATGAGTTTTCATTTTACCCTGTATCTCTCTTATACCCTATTTCCTTTTCTCTCATCGTTGGATGAACTTACTGGCAGTTCAAGTTTGAGGTAAGTTGATACAATTTCACTCCTTGACAACTCAAGTTTCAAATCAGTAGAGACATTTTCTGATGACTCAAGTTTCAGCGGAGGCATTTTCGGATGACTTGAGTTTAGAATCCGTACACACAGTTCCAACCGTCCATTCACATCAGTTGAGACACCTTCAGATAAGTAATTTCCATTGATAGTAAAATTAGAGATATTAAAAATAAATTTGTTATTTAAAACAAAAGTTTAGATTCATTTTTAATTATTTTTTCCATTAAAAAAAGAGTTTATAAATCTTTTATTTTATCGTAAATATAAATAGCAATAAAATAAATTTACCGAATATTGTTTTTTTAAAAATTGAAAAACTAATTTATAAATAATAAAAACTAATTTATTTTTTATTCATTTAAAACTAAAAATAAAAATAAACAGAAATAATAGTCATTTATTATTTTCGTAATCAATAAATAATTAATTTATTAAATATTAAAATTAATTTATGACAATTATAAACTTGTTATATTCATTTATCACATTCTATAATAAATGGTTCGCTTTGTTGACGTATTATTTTCGTAATCAATAAATAATTAATTTATTAAATATTAAAATTAATTTATGACAATTATAAACTTGTTATATTCATAATCAATATTATAAGTAATTTAGTTTCAAAAATTTTAAATCCATAAAATCACTCTTAAAATAAGATAATAATACTTTTATTTATTTAATTATAAAAAATAAATTATTTAAATTATTTTTTGAAAGTTAGTAAAAAATAATATTTTAAAATCTTTCTCTCACATATATTATAAGCTTAAAGAAAAATTGGTATAATTAATTAGATAGTTATGCTGATGTAGTTGAATCACTTTAGAAATGCAAAAACAGTTTAAAAACTTTTTATGATTTAAACTTTGCTATATAAATATTTTTTTAGCAATTACTTTTTTAGTACTATTACTCAAAATGTTTTTATCTTTTATATTTTTCCTTTATTTTATATCATAATCATTTAATCTTTTTATAAATATGTATTTAAATTTATTTATATATTTAATTATATATAAATATAACTTAATTGTCATTTAATGGTAGAAGTTTTATTGTGTAGTTGTGCTTAAGTTATATTTATAAATATTTATAAATATAACATAAGTAGTTGTACTTTTTATAAATTATCATTTAAAATTTACCTAAGTCTTGTTCATTTTAAAATGATATATTTTGTGTGTTCGAAACAACTATTTTTTATTTTCACAATAGAAATAATAACTAACATTCTAATAAATAAATAATTCTTTAAACTACAATGTAAATTTACCTATCTCTTATTTATTTTAAATTGAATTTTTATTTTTATTTTTATCAAGTGTCTAACATAAAAAATAAATTGGTTTTATAGTAAAATATCTCAAGTCACACAAATTATTTTATACAAAACGTGTATAATGGAGATTGGTGAAATTTTTTAAAATTAAAAGATAATAATTAATATATTTTTTAAAACAAACAAATATTAATTAACTATGCTTTAACCTTACAAAATTAGTAGAGAATGAGATATATGATATAATTTTAGATTTATAGTGAAAAACTTATATATAATATTTTAAATTGTTTTAATAGTAATCTATAATAAAAATGAGAAGTTAAAAAAAAAACTTAAGATTAATAATAAATAGAAGTATTACATGAAATTTCAATGCTTTAACCGATCATAAGTGACAAATGAATGTTATACAATATGATAAATGCATGATACACACCATACCAACTAAGACTTGAAACTTGGTACTCCTCCACCTGTATAAGCAAATGTCAAATCTCCTACTTGTATAATTTATTAATATTACAAATCATTACCAACAAAGACTTACAACTTGGTACTACTCCATCTGCATATTCAAATGTCAAATCTTCTGTTTGTATAATTTATTAATATTACAAACCGGTACCAACTAAGAGTATCTTCTACGGGAGAATTTTTCAATGTTTTTACACGTGGCCTACGTTTTTTAATCATTATTTCTTATCATTATGTAGTCGTTGGAGTTGGTCAGACTGACGTATCGTGAGAATACAATGCAACGACACTTTCTCATAAAATATTAATATAATTTAATGTTGCAACGATTATTTTTTTTTTAATTTTCTTTTAACACTTTTATTTTATTATAAATACACCCAATTTGAAAAAATTTACACACAAACTTTCTATCTTACTTTTATTTTCTCTTAAGATTTTAATTTTTCTCTCAAAATTTCATCACTTTACTTTAAAAATTTTTAAATTTTTCTCTTACAATTTATTCACATTATCATTCCTTTTACCCAAATTTTCATTTTTTTTACTTCAAAATTAATATTGTTTAGGCCAAGTGGATCCTAATCAATTTAGTTATCAACAATCTATGTTCAATTTCATGCAAAATTATCAAAATCATAATCCTCAAAATCCTCAATTCTCATCGATGCCAACAAACTCCGCCGCATTATTTCCGATACCAACCGGAAACACTCCGCCACATTTTTTCCGTCACCAAACTCTGCCCTATGTTCAACAGTCTATGGAATTTTTTCGTCATGAACCAAAAACACAACCACTGATTGTGTTTATGTCCGAAAGTCAAGTTCCACCATTTTCAGCTCAAGTCGGTATTGAAAAAGAAGAAAGTCGTCCCGTTAAAAAAAAATCTCGAGAGGTATTTTCAAGGGATGAAGATATACTTCTTATCCAATCATGGCTCAATGTTTCAAAAGATCCAATTGTGGGTGTTGATCAAAAAGCTGAGAATTTTTGTTTAAGAATGGCTAACAATTATAATGAGTATCGTGGGAAGTCGCGGGAAAAGCTACGTGGGCAATTAAAATCTCGATGGCATCGAATAAATGGCTTTGTTCAAAAATTTGTTGGGTGTTACAAATAAGTTGTTAATGGAAAGAAAAGTGGGACATCGGAGAAAGATATCTTGGCCGCTGCATATGCTTTTTTTGCTCAGGATGAAGGTACACCATTCAATCTTGAGTATGCATGGCGATTGTTAAATGATGAACCTAAATGGATGGGAGCATCAACAAAAATTCTTCAAAAAGAACAAAGAATTCTGCTAGTGGGGCACACTCATCATCGTCTGACCTCGCGACACCTTCAAGTTATGAGTTTAACTCATCATCACCAATAGAGCGTCCAATGGGACAACAAGCAGCAAAAAGAAAGAGTAAGGCAAAGGAAAAAGCATCTGAATCACCTTCTAATGTTGTACAAGATACATGGAATAAAAGAGTAGAAGCAATGGAAAGACTAACTCAATGTAAGGAGGACGAGATGGAGTTTAAGGCAATGCGATTACTCTCGAAAGACACTTCTACGATGACTAATAGTCAACGAGATATTCATGAAAAATATTGTAATAAGTTAGAAAAAAATATGGAATTTAGTCATGATGAAAAATTGTAGTACTTGTTATGTATCAACACCTATGTAAAATGGTCATTAGTACCAATTTAATTATAATAAATATTATGTTGTTATTCAAACTAGCCGTTATTCATATATCACTATATTATGAGGGCAAACTGTCTCACAACATAGGTTCTCAAGTTTCGATGATGACAAAGTACAACCTCGGATGAATCGGAATCGTCATGCAATACTTAACATATTACATCCTTCCTATATCCTTTTAAATCATCATATTTCATTACAATATAATTGATTGATGTATAGTCGTGACAAGATGTACGAAACAGCAAACATGTAAATTTTTGCATATTTTGGAGCTATGAGTCGACCATACAGTCAGCTCATGGATCAAGTCATTTTCCACTGGTCAGCACACAGCAACCATGAGTCGACCATACAGTCAGCGCATGGATCAGTTTATTTCCCACTGGTCAGCACACAACAACCATGAGTCGACCATACAGTCAGCACACAACAACCATGAGTCGACCATAAGTCAGCACATGGAGCCTTGGCATTTCACACGGGTCAGCGCACGCTGACCTATGGTCGACCGTTCGCGCGTTGACACTGTCAGTGCAGTATTTCCAATATGTTTGAAAATCTATTTTGTTGGTTGATTTGCTAATTACTATAAATAGAAGTTTGTTCATTTTAACACAACAACATTTGATAAAAATTGATTCACGTGTTCAAGAATAAGAAAGAGTGAAATAGGTGTCCAAGATTCTTCATCTTCATCTTCAAACATCTCACAACACATCAATTACACACAGTCATTTTTGAAGTGCATTGTGAATGATTAAAGGTGATAAGGTTCAAAGCTTAGATTGGGTAATCTAGTTCGGGTTGAAGCTTGTGATAGGTTCTTTCTTGAATAAAACCGTTAGGGTTTTATCCTCCAAGGTTGGTTTGAATTTTGGGGTTTTTTGGAAGAGATTCTTCATCAAGGGTCAACTGAGCGAAGGTGATTGTGAAGAGGTGTTCTTCAACAGTCTAGTAGCGGATTCAGTGATATTGAAGGGAAGATCTCTGGTTCGATTCGTTGCAGTTGAGATCAGCCGGAGCCGAAGGTTTGAACAACAACGGGTTATTCAATAAGGTGGCTGGAATCAGAGGTCTATCAACAACGATCGGAGGACTTGATTCATCTTGAATCAAGGGGCAAGGAGTGAAAGCAACATTCAACGTCTTGAGATTTCTGTTGTATATTTGATGTTCAATCCTTGTATAAACTGTTACATTCAACAGGTGATATCTATTAAATCTATTTCAATTCTAGTTTTAGAATTGAGGGCAGACGTACCCCGAAGCGAGGACGACGAGGGAACTGCCTCACCAAATACTTGTCTTCTCTATTTTTCAGCATTTCGTTTTAGCTTAAAAATAAGTGATTTTTGTATAAGCACTATTGTCAAACTGTTATATCAATTGAGTAAGAGGTTAAAACTCTGTTTTTGACTCCAAAGTACAATAAGACATTGTACTAGGCTAGTTGGAATCACTTACTCAACATAAATATCACTTGGAGTGTTTTGCACACCAAGTGTTTGACAAATTGCCTAAACCAAAATTATCTTACTTGTGTATCTAGTTTTGGTTTGCTCTTTAAATCATTGGAACTAGGAATCCTAACAAGTGAATTAGATCATTGATAAGTGTGATTAGTGTTGTGATTCTATTTTCCATATTGTCATTAATCCAAAGGCTTACGCATATCTGGTTTTCCAATAACCGTTCGTTTTAAACTATATTTTCCTCGGCCGCTTCCGCACTTAAAACAAATTTTCAAAACCAATTTTTTAATTGGTAGCGCCGACTCAAATTTTTAATTGGGATCTATTCAACCCCCCCTTCTAGATCCGTGTCATAGTCTAACAAGTGGTATCTAGAGCTCCGGTTACTCGGTACTTCAAATACAACGTTGATAGAAAATGGCTAACGAACCAAAAGGGGCGTACAATAGAGCTCCCGTTTTCAACGGTGAAAATTATAGTTATTGGAAAAACTGTATGCGGGTGCACATAAACTCCATAGACAGAAAAATATGGAACGTTATCCTCAGTGGTCCAATAGAAATTACTATGACCAATGCGGATAACGTAGTTGTGCCAAAGCCGAAGCACAATGGACCGATGACGATGAGAAAAAATACAATTATGATTGGAAAGCCAAAAATATCTTAATCTCCTCATTAGGTGTAGATGAATACTATCGTGTATCCCATTGTCCTACTGCTAAGGCCATGTGGGATTCACTACAAATCACCCATGAGGGGACGAACGATGTTAAGTTGGCTAGAATCAACACATTAACACAAGAGTTTGATCTCTTTTTCATGGAGCAAGGGGAAACCATTGCGGACATGCAAAAGAGATTTACTCATCTCATCAATCGTTTATATTCATTAGGTAGGCTTGTTCCCAATGATGTTGCTACTAATAAGGTTTTGAGATGTCTTAACAGGGAATGGCAGCCGAAAGTGACCGCAATCAAAGAAGCAAATGATCTTACCATATTAGACTTGACAACATTGTTTGGAAAACTTCAAGAGCATGAACATGTACTCTTGAGTCTAGACCAACGCGAAAAGATGGAAAAGAAAGACAAAATGAAGGTGAGTGAAAAGAAATTGATAGCTCTTAAGACTTCCTCCTCGAAGTCTTAAGCAAAAGAGCAAAGTGATTATTCCTCAAGCGACGAAGAAGAAGAGGACAAGAGCAAAGATATGAGGCTGTTCGTTAAACGTTACAACCGTTACGTTAGAAAGAACGGTATCCAACATTCCGAGAAGAACTTGGTAAACTTCCGGAAACAATCGAGGTACTCCAAAGATGATGACTCGAAAGGTAAAAAGACTATAGGGTCGTGCTACAAGTGCGGGAAGCCCGGTCACTACAAACCGGACTGTCCGATGAACAAAAAGGCAAAGGAAAAGAAATCATCCAAGTCATACAAGAAATCATCAAAGCCAAGGAAAGCGTACATAGCTTGGGAAAGCGATAGCGACTCCTCCTCCTCTGATGAAAGCTATAGTGATGAAGAAGAGTCTGTGAATCTATGCATTTCCTCACATCAGAAAAATAAGAAAAAGCAGGTACGTCACTCTAAATATGAGAAGTCCTCAAATATGTCGCATTCAGAATTACAAACCGCATTTAATGCTTTACACAATGAAGCAACTAAAGCCTTTAAGAGGTTTGCCTCTAATAAAAGAATTTTTACTTACTTAGAGCACAAAGTTAAAGAGTCCGAAAAGAAACTAGAGGACCTTAAGGCTTCCATTGTGGAAAGTAATAAATCGGATTGTGAGGACCATAGAAATCCTTTCAACTTTGGATGTGATACTTGTCATATTTGGCAAGGTGAAGTTAGAAACCTTAAGGCCAAATTAAACAAGGCACTTGAGCCTAAAATTACATTTGCTATTGATAAAAAGGATTTTAGAAAAAGTATGATAAACCCATATCAAAAATATGCATATGTAATTAGGGATCAAGCAAGTAAAAGTGATTCTAAAGTCGATTTTGCATGCTTATATTGTTGCAAGAAAGGCCACTCCATTGGTAAATGCCGATTTAGGAGATTTCTAGTTCCTAAAGGCATCTATCAATGGTTTCCCAAACGCAACCATCTTGTCGCTAACATATTAGGACCCAACATGCCATTGGGTACTTCTTTTTGCTAATTATGTTTTGATAGGTAAAGTGTGTCGAGACCACTGAGAGAAGATGGGTTCTCGACAGTGGATGCTCAAGACACATGTCTGGAGACATATCCTTATTCATAGACTTCGTGGATAAGAAGAAAGGGTATGTAACTTATGGTGATAACAACCGCGAATCAATACTAGGTAAAGGTAGTGTAGGTAATCCCTCTTCTACTACGATTTCCGACGTGTTGCTTGTCGAGGGCCTTAAACATAATCTGCTTAGCATTAGCCAATTATGCGACAAAGGATACAATGTATCTTTTTCAAAAGATTGTTGCAAAATTGTGCATGATAATGATAAGAAGAATATGTTTAATGGTTTTAGAGTAAACAACGTATATATGCTTGACTTAAATGAAGTATCGTTAACAAGCGACAAATGCCTCATAACTATGAGTGAAGACTCATGGCTATGGCATAGGCGTTTAGCGCATGTTAACTTTGACTTACTAAATAAGGTAGTCTCAAAAGACTTAGTCTTAGGACTTCCCAAAATAAAATTCACCAAGGATCACCTTTGTGATGCTTGTCAAAAAGGGAAGCAAACGAGGATCTCATTTAAATCCAAAAAGATTGTTTCAACAACGAGACCTCTCGAACTTCTTCATATGGACTTGTTTGGGCCGTCTAGGATTAAAAGTCTAGGAGGAAACTATTACGGGTTCGTAATAGTGGACGACTTTTCTAGGTTTTGTTGGACCATCTTTTTAGTAAGTAAGAGTGATACATTTGCCGCTTTTGAAAGGTTTGCC